TTTAAACGAGCTTAATTTTCTAATTTTTAACGATACAATAGCGACGATTATTATTATTTTTTTAAATTTGATAGGCTTAACATGGATGAAAATTCAACGCGAAGTAGGTTAATAGCGATATACTAATATACTAATTACATGGGATATAATAATATACTACACTAATAATGGATTTTTTCATACTTTTCGGTTATCCGAATTTTCAATTATCCGACCAACCCCAGTCCCCAATTGAGTCGGATAATCGAGGCTCTACTGTATCTTATTTCACTTAAAATTATCGTACATTAATCTTAATCAGTTATGCCCTTTATCAGTAGAAATATTAACTAGGTTTCCCTTATGTCAAAATCTCTTAAACTTTTTATCTGCGATCCTTTCTTACAACGAAAATTTTTAGATTCCATTTTACTATGAAGTTTGTATGGTGCAAAACATACCTCTGGATGGATGTACTCTAAAATCTACGTTTTTTAAATGCAATTTCAACATATCAAACATTAACAAATATGTAACACATTTCCTTCTTTATATATCGTAGTTATTTCATATGCATAAGCCTTAGTTTTTCCAAATTTTTCGACCATCTAAAAGTTTTAGTCCAACCCTCAAATGGTCGCGAGCTCTAGTTTAGGAAACGCTGTTTTGCAAAATAAAGCCTCGGTTCTAGAGAGTTCATTAGATGGATAATACTTTTTTTTTTTTTTAATTAATAATAGGCCGGATGGCAGAGTGGTCAAGGTGGCAGCCTACCGCTCTGGGGGATCTGGATTCGAATCCGAATGGATCAAAAATCCCCAGGAATTTTCCGAGAGTGGTCCATTCAGATATGTTGGGTCCTGTCCCTTATCACCGGTCGAACCCATAATGGGCCTGCTATAAGAAGCCCCCTTAGTGCCCACAGGGCAAAAAGAGTAAAAAAAACCGACTGATAAAATGCTCAAATCGATATGCAAAGAAAATTCATACAAATAAACGATCTGTCAAAATGCCATTATGCTTCTACTTGTATAAAATATAGATACTACATAAATACATGGATTGCCCCAGAGTGGTGGTAGCCACCTTGACCGCTCAGCCATCCGGCCGATTCTCGGTCTCTGTTAATTGCGGACAATTAAGAAAGAAAGACGTGATAAATATCACTAGTCTCACTATTGCAAGAAGAAACCTTTACTTATAACATTTCATATTTTTAATTATTATCGAATGGCCAAAAGCTTAATTTTGAGGGTAGTGATGAGTTTAAAAGAAAATTGTAAACATTAATAACGAATAACATCTTCCATTAAATCTAATCTCTTTCGAGATATGACACATGACAACCCTCTAGTTCCTCATCCTTTTAATATTAAGGAGATATGATGCTATTAAATTAATAAGAGCATCAATGTTCCTTATACACAAGCTATCATGCTAAATTTTGTTTTTTATAGATGCCAACGCACACATACACGGAATATATATATATTTTTTTACTTTTTTGAGTTCAGGAGGTCTCAAAACGTGGAGATTTACAAAAAACTCTGAGGAGCAAATTTGTCACAATTCCAATGCTTTCTTTTATTACGTGTACATAACAGCCGGGGAAAGAAAAATTAAGAATGTTTAGAAATGCATTTAACTTATCGCTACAGAATATTTTGTCGTGTTTAGAAACGTTTAAATAAAGGGTTAAAAAAGAAATGTCTTGTTATTTACTTTCAAAATTAAAAAGAAAAAAAAATAATAAGTAGGGTCATTTTGACTCTCACACTCTTAGTTAAGGGTTAAAACTCTTCCTTTTCTTTGCCCACTTTTCCACAACGAATGATTCAGATATTCTAACTCGTTGCCTTTACACAACACAAATGGCACGCCCCTTAACTAAAAAGAAAATGTTGGACATGTATTCAATTTTCCTCAAACATGGCGTTGCTTCAGCCACTCTATGTAGTACAGTACTAGAATATGCTACATAGAATATACTCAAAGACCCGGGAATAACGAGCTAGAATGCTCGTTGTTCCCGGGGTTTTTGAGAGCGGTAGCTGATACCTTCACCCAGGATTTCCAAAGATAAGACATTAAAATTGAAATGAATTTAATATATTTGTCTATTAATATTTTGCAAAGTTTTGAAAATTAGTCAGGGTCGATTGAAGGTCATTGCAAACGGTTTATTAAAAATTATGTGTCCAATAAGTTATGTCAATGGGCTATTGAACTATATCAATTATTGAAAATAGTGACATAAATTTTGATAATCTGCACTCCGGGTTTTTCCCGGTAACGACTTGTAATAATAAAACTCGAAATTAATATTAGAAGTATATTTATTATACAAAGTATTAAATAATAGATTAAAATTATTAAAATTAAAAAAAAATAATAAAAATTTGGATCATAAATTACTTTTGAAAATTTTAGAAAAGTTTTTCTGAGTTATGTAATTTGTAGATATCTATGTCCAAGATGGCGGAGACCGAGATGTTAGGAAAATAAGAAAATTAACAATTCAAAAATTTTATTTTGTTTGAATCATTTTTGGTAAGTTCAGATATTTAACCATACAGTCACCATTTTTAAGGGTGAAGTTACGCTTTATTATTATAATTACAACGATTATAGCGATGAATATTAAAATATTAATTGTAACTAACATTTTACAGTTTATCATATGTTGTGTTAGATCAAACATTGTCAACAAATTTTAAAACAGATTCTTTTCGGAAATTCGTTTTAATATTACGTAATTGATATTCGTTCAATATTATTGTTATTTAGGAAGATTTTTTTACTTTTTGTTTCAGTTTATAAATACGAAACTAATGGTAAAAATACAATTTTCAGTTAAATTCTGCTTTTACGCGAGATATACAACGAGTGTATGAAATAAAAAGTATTAAAATTGAAATGAATTTAATATATTTNTAGTATTTCCAGCAACGAAGTATTTAATAAAAATAAAAATGTTTTCGACTATATTTAATTGTCTTATTCAGTTAAACCATTTTAAAACTAAAACGAACGTAAAATAGAATGCAAGCAATACAACAGTTTAAAAATTGAAATTAATTACTACAAAATAAAATAAAACGTAAAAAACAAAATTAAATTACAATAAAATATTAATAAAAATTAATCGTGGTAAAGAATTAAATTAAATAAAGTATTAAGAAAATTAATCGTCATGGTAAAAAGATTTCCATGTGCAGGACAGACTTTCTGCGTCTCTATGGTTGAAGAATCCTTTGTTAATATGCATGCGCCTTGTAAATTTCAAGTTTTTCAATATGTTTAAGTACTTGTTTGTTGGTGGCTGTCCTAATTATGGATGCTTTGTCCCAATGAATGTTTTGTATCAACCAGTTTTCACTTAACTGAAACAGCATTTTTGTTTTATCTCCTGGTTTTATTATCTAAACCTGATCTAAACAAATATAACCTGTCAAATTGTTTAGTATCTTGGTCAAAGAAACTAATAGATTGTTGCTAATGTCATTTGCTAGTGAATAAACAAAGTGTTCTTTGAAAACCAATGTAAACGGAAAGTGAAAATGTAAAATATAACCTTAGTCAGATTATTTGGCTATATTTTATGTCATCACTTTCAGTTTACACACCTTATGTTGTTTCTAATTTAATGTAATGAATGCTATATATTTAAAAAAACAAAATGAACAGCTGACACAATATGCAGAGCCATAACTAGCCATTCCTGTGCCCTATGCAAGAATTTGCATTTAGGCCCCTTAATTTATTTGTTTTGGGAAAATAATAAAACAAATAGTGTACATTACAATAGATTTTTAATAAGATTTATTTTAATTAATTTTTTTTTGGCTTTCATTTCAGCATATTCATTAATTATACCTTCATAATTAATGATATTGTATTCTATTGAAATAATAGAAATATTGGATAATCATTTTTATCCGATAGTTGATCTTAAATAATTTTTTATTATGTTTAACTTGCTAAAACTTCTCTCGCACGAAGCAATAGAAACGGGAGGAGTTAGAAATATTCGAAGAGCGGCATTGATATTTGGGTAATACTCAATTAAACCAAATTCATGAAGAGCCTGTAGAATATTAAGCGGAGATGCAGTTTCCATATTTTGTATAAGAGTTGTTACTTCAAAATTAAAACTTTCAATTTCACTTGTGAATTCGTACTTTTTTAAATCTTTGCTATATTTAATAGAGAGATCTGAAGTCGAATTTTTTTATAATCAGCAACACTGGTGTATTGTAAAGACGAGCCACAGAGAAAGCAAAAATTGTCACAGATAGTTTTCATTTTTTCATAACGCCAATCTATTTGACACAATAGAGCATCAAGAACACTGTAAATTTATATTTTAAATAATTTTTCGGGTGTCAAGTTACTTTTTTTTCACTACTTTCTACTATTTCCATTATCTTAACCCTTTTTTTTTTTTTTTTTTAAGAAATCCCTTTTCTATACTTTTTGGTTTGTTTTAAGAATATGATCAATAATAGCATCTGTTAATATTGTTGGCCATAAAGCTATATCATTTATTACTTCCATGTATCTATATATATCGAAGCGTTTTTTTGGACTATTTCTATCTTCTGCGTTTTCGCAATCCCTCTTTTCAGTAGCATTTTAAAGACTGCGGGAGCTCCTTCGGGGCACTACGCGCCCGCATAGTTCGGTTACCGCTTAATCCGTCGTTCAGGTATACACCACACAGTGGCGTACCGTGGGTGTCAGCCCCCCGGGGCGGAGGAAAATTTCGGCCCCCCTTATTTAGGTATTTCAATTTAAAAGACCAAAATTCAGTTTTGTCAAAGAACAAGCAATGAAATTCTGTGCTAGTGCAGCGACCTGTTTAAAATAGTTCTATTGGATATTAGTGGTGTATATGAACGCGAATGAATCTTACAGGAAAAAAAGTCAACAGATTTCGCAGAATTTCATCGGATTAAAAATTACCAGTTCATCTGGACCAGGAGCCGATTCCTGGACTGTCCGGACGATAGCACTGTCGTAGGCGCGATGCAATTATAGGTTAGGATGTTTCAAATTTTTACAAGATATTATTATTATTTATTGTGAAATTTTGCCGCCCC